AATTCAGTGGTTGTCATCGGTTGCTGTCTGTAATATTATGCGTATACTGTTTTGGAAAAAATTCAGGCTGTTGGTTTTCTCGTTTTAATTGTTTCACATATTTTCATGCCGGGTCCTTTTATAGCTGACTTTACGCTTCGGGTTTTGTTCATTGTTGAAGGTCGTACGTTGGCCTATAGTTGTTTGAATCAACGTCATTTTTACTGCACGATGAGCTGCAAAAATTTCGTATCTGCATCCGATTTCAGCTGGATTGGTACAAGTCCGAAGAAACTATTTTGTCTAGCGAATAGTTTTCCTTGTTTATATTTTCAATATTTTTATACTAAATTGTCTGTTAAAACTACATTGTTCATGTTCATAAGAAAAGTAATTAAGGATAATGATATAACGGTTTCAACTTATCACCTTTACTAGCGCTTCACTTTACAGGTCTATATATATATAGAATGTGGATTAAATTAATACTCAAGTTTTCCCTGTCTTTCATACATATATATGGAAGTATTAATCCACATTCAGTAACTTTATCATGATTAATAATTCACAACAATTCTTTATAGAAGCACCATTGACCTTCCATTTTGTTTTGACTTAATATACTATTTGGTAAATGTTTTGATTATACTATTATTGTGAAATCATTGCATCTTGTTTTGTTTTTGATTTTTGTTGTTTTTGTTTGTCTTGTTTGTCTTGTTTTTGATGTTTTTTTTTGTTTTTTTTTTGTTTTTTTGTTTTTTGTCTTTGCTTTTGTTTTCGTTTTCGTTTTCGTTTTGTTTAATTTTGTTTTTGTTTTGTTTTGTTTTGTTTTGTTTTGTTTTGTTTTGTTTTGTTTTGTGTTTTGTTTTGTTTTGCTTTGTTTTGTTTTGTTTTGTTTTGTTTTGTTTATTGTTTTTTCCTTTTTTTGGAGGGGGGAGTCGGGTTATACCGATTGTTCATTGGCAGTTGGAGGCAAGTCTTCAATGGTTCATATGTTTTCCTTTTCTGCATCGAATTCTAAATACACGTATTTTTTTTTGGCATAACGCTCGATAGAAGATTAACTTGCAAACGTTTTACACTTTAGACAATTTAACTCGATAATTTTGCAAAACACATCTATGTACGGCCTTACATACCACATATTGTGACTTTAATAAGTCAGGTTGTCTGGACCATACGTTGTTCCTTTATGCCATGGCGTTGTTAGTGTTGTATGTCTATTTTGTCACGTGTTAGTGGTTGGTGTTTTCTGTTGTTGTGTTCAATATTTTGGTGATTCTTGTTATCCTATATTATTTTAAGCAATGAACACACAACAAAACAATACAGTGAAAGGACTAGGGTAATATATATATGTCGAAGTTCCTGACTTCGGTCTCGTTCATTGGAATTACAAAAAGTACACAATCAGAAAAAAACTTTAAACATTTTCTCTTGAACTTTATTAAAAAAAAAACAATGGTTATACTTCGTCTTAAGTTTATCCCAACGATGTTTACTTAGTACTCTGTAATTTTGCGGTAGCAAATTTCTACCCTTCCGTAAGCGGGATTTTAACCCATATTCTATGTATTATACAAGTTCTAAAGATTTGTGCTAATAATGCTAGTAATGAACTAATATCGCACTAAAAGACAAATGCTTGACTGATTTTAACTCTTACAAACAAAATTCTATATTCAAATTAATTAAAAATGAAAATAACAGAGTGAGTATGTTTGATTTTATGTGCGTGTACACCTTGATAATGTACCTATACACAGCGAGTATGTGTTTTTATTCATTGGAATATGTCTAAATATAATTTTATTTTCAAAAATGTTTTATAAATCCAATAATATGACTAATATAAATACATATAGAAAAAGAAACATCTATTTCTTTTTGTTAATGTCACCTGGTTGAAGAACATTTTATAGATTTTTCTAAAATCTTACCCGATTCTCCTGCTCAGTAGTTGTGAACAATCACAAGAACTTTCTTGCGATTGAAATCACCGAGATTGTCGGGTGTTGGGTCTTTTGGAGATATGTCGTCTTTGTAAGCAAACTTCGAAACAGGGGTAAAGTTAGTTTGCTAGCAAGGAGGACGTTACCACGTTATCGCAGTTTGCTTTCGTCAGCTATCTATTAGATCCATTAAGGTGTTTGTGGAATGGCTGCTTTGAAACTTGTGGAATGGCTGCTTTCAATTGACGCTTGGAGAATGGCTGCTTTGACGCAGTAACATATTGGACTGATGCCACTGACGGAACATTCTAGAATGTAAATGGCATTCGATATTTTACTGGACACATTGCAAAATATTTTATAATTCCTTTGGCCAGAATTACTGATAAATATTGATGAATGATACCAAAATAACCAGAAGGGGAAACTTTCGGTTTTTTTTCTGGAATGATAAACAGATCCTGTTCCTGTAGAGGAACCCGTTTTGTCGGTTGAGGACGTGTTAATATCCATTGACAGGAAACCTTGAACCACATATTTCATCAACGTCAAGGAAAAAAAAAGGATGAGATAACTTCGACAAAGAGAACGTATACACGTTGTTGCTAGTCTTCTTTCATTTTCATTAAAACTCGTATTTCAGAAAACTAAGTTAATAAATCAATTAAATTTTATAAAATGTTTGAATATCTCCTTTTAGACCCTCTAAATGAAGAAAGTTATAAAAGACTTCTATACTGACAACAGAAGAATGCTATAATAGATTGTGTAACTGCTTTGATAAGGGGAACAATTCGTCAAGTGCTTGTATTTGGATTAAATTGAAATCTTTAGGATTGATACTAAGCCTGATAACGTAAAACTGATATCATTCAATGATTTAAATTCAATTAATTATATAAACTCTGATTTAAGACAATTTAAAACAATTTATTGAATAAAACGTGTTTGGGTGAAAAATTGAAAGAAAAGCAAGGTTGGTTATAAATTTTTTTTTTTAGTTTTTGATAGCAAAGACAGTAGTGCTATTGTGTGAAATAAAGGTAAAACTATTAAGATAAAATAAGTTTTGTGCTGGGTCGTTTCATCTGAGTGTGATTTAGATCTGTTAAATACGTTTGTTTATGGAAAATTATAAATCACCGAAAATCGCTGTCATAACATTGACATGGGATTACTATTTAGATTTTAAAAAGGACTGTGTATTATTCAAAACTCTGCGTTTACATTTATTCTTATGACAGTTGCAATCAAAATCATATATATATACATGTATATAAAGACGAAGGACAGACAAAATCATGAACAAAAAAGGAAAAGAAACAGACATAAACAAATAGACGAACAACAATCCACAATACTACACAGGATATTGAAGATTAAACAAATAAACAAAAGCATTTTCATAATTTTGATAATTGTTGGTTTGAAATGATACATTTTTGATCGAAATTTTTCATTTATGAATAAATCTATTTTGTTAAATGGAAGTGGTCACTTCGCAATTCAGATACATTTAACTGGCCAGCACAGTACGACACAATGTTGCTATTGGCGCTATTCTTTTTTTATTGTACATTTTCGGTTTATATGCAAAAGTCAATTGGATGCCTAAAGGGCACTAACAATAATTGAATAACATCGGATTTTATTTGTCAGCCTGTTTGAGAAATTTTCTTATATTATAAAAATGAATTTTATTCTTTTAGCCGTACGAATTCTGATCACAATTTTCATATTTTTTGCCGGATCCAGGAGAATCGAAGGGCCCATCGAAAAATAAGAGTTTGTAAAATTTTTAAAAAATGCATAAAAACATAAAAATTTATGACCATAACGGGGGGTCCACGGACCCCTTTGATGCATTCTTGATCATATCAAGTCAAACTTTTGGGCATCACCATTGACTTTGAACTTAATTTCAATATATCTCCTATATCTGCAAAAAAGCATACAGACAACTTAGTGTCTTAAAAATACTTGGCAAATACTTGAACAAACTGGGAAAATTAACAATATGTCACTCCTTCATTATGTAAAACTTTAATTTCTGCTCATTGTCCTGGCATTTCTGCAGCGATGCAAACACTACTCAAATTGAAAAAGTACAAGAAAGAGCACTCCGCTTCATTTACCAAGATTACAATAGCACATATGATGATTTACTTTTGAAATAAAAAATGCCATCACTTAAAGTAAGACACCTAAGAACCATGGAAATAGAGGTATTTACAACAGTTAATAAAGAAAATCCAATATACCTACATGATCTTATAAACATTAAAGAAACAAACTATTGTTTTCAGATATCAAAACTTGGCTGAAATGCCTGCATTTAATACTACAAGGTATGGCTTGAAATGTTTCAGATATTCTGCAGCCAAACTATGGAATGAGTTGCCATACCACTTTAGAACTGAAACATCTTTTACCCAATTCAAGAGTCTAATAAACTCATGAAATGGCAACTCATGCCATTGCAATACATATGCTTATTATTTATTTTTGATGTTTTATGTTACAACTTTGAAACATAGTAGTGGTGCTTATTATACTTCCACTCTTTTTCTGTTTTATTTGCTTGATTTTAATAATTTGTGATTGCTGTGCTTTAGTGTTTTATGTTGCTGCTTTAATGTTGCGTTTAGCTTAGTGCTCATGCATGTATATAATATGAGGGGCCTCGGTGGCCGAGTGGTCTAAGTAGTCGAACTACTGTATCACTAGCCAGTCAACACTGAGGTTGTGAGTTCGAATCCCGCACGGGGCAGGTGCACTCGACTCAAATCTTAATTGACTAGGATTGTTAGTTTTCCTACCGAAGGTCGGTGGTTCTCTCCGGGCACTCCGGCTTCCTCCTGGACTGACTGGATTGTCCCCCCTCCCTTTTCAAATTTTTCAGTCATCTATTTTTTTTGCGTATCTCTCAAATGTATCTACATAAAAGCTGTGTCAAATTTTAGTCCATCTAACCAGTTCTCAAAAATCAATAATAATTTTTAAAAATGCACGGAATGAATATAGTGAATTCTCCGTATTAGTTTTAACGTTTACTTTATTATAACATGGCAGCGCCCACTAACTTAGCACAAACCGGTGAGAAAAATTCTTCTTGAAACATCTGTTATACAGAAGAGATCTGGAGATCTTTAATACTATAGTCTAATATATTAATAGTCTGTTCATTCCGTCAACATCATAAAGAATCTATACAGGTGAAAAAGAACACTTGTTCACGTTCTAATTATTGAACCAGGATGAGTCTGGTCAGTCGTTTGTTTACATTAGTAGCAATCCTTGTAGCAGCGTTTGCAGTTATTTTTACAGTTGATATCTTTAAACCATATCGTCAGAAAATTAAAGATGTTATTCCCGAATCCATTAGGAACAGTTTTATAAGTATTTCGGATGGCAAACGGATGAAATCGGGAAAAATTTATACAAAAGATGAATTGAGTAAATACAAAGGAGAAAATGGATCACCTGTGTATCTCGCTGTACTGGGACACGTATTTGATGTTACTAAAGGAAAGAAACATTATGGGCCAGGTGGAGGCTACGAATTCTTCGCTGGTATGCACATTTTAATGACTGATTTATTTCCAAAAGAAAAACAAAGTTTTTTATTACATCGCTTTTGTTTCTCGCTGTCTAGTACAGAGGAACTGGATCAAACAACAATGTTATTATTGTATTTCAAGGTTCAAACCCAAATCCTGTTAAAAGCAATAATATTTAAAAATTTGACTTTCTTATGACTTCAGTCTTTTACATGACTAATCATGCATTTCCAAAGTTAATTTATAATATAAATAAGTGTATGTGTCATGGATTATTAATTGCTGACGTTTGTTCTTTTAATAGTATAAAACTAGATGGAGTTCATTCAGCGTGTTCAGGTAAAATTTTGATAAAGAATTATCGTTCTTTGTATACTTAACCATGTTAACATGCTTATGGTTTACAAATATATGTTGCCATTTAATTTGAATGTTCGCCCATAGTAAAATTTCGAATACCAGACATTTTTTGTTAAATCACTCCGGAAAAAGCCACGTGCACACAATCACACACATCTTTTTAACCATCACATTTGTGATGCAAAACAATATAAGACCTATCAACATGTTTAAGATACAATGGTTTTCTGCTTATTGTGTGGCAACATTATTTTGCTTTCACCTAAACCCTCAAGTTTGACCTCTTGGCAGAGGAAGACCATGTACACAATAAATGTCCATGTACTGTATCATATATTTTACATGATTATTATATATACAAAAATCGGCGAGTATTCTCTTTGACATACGAGGTAAATGGAAAACCTTCAAAGCGGTCCGAGTTTTTATCCTCTATACATGTACATGCTATATATATATATAGCTAGGTTCTCTACTGTTACAGTAAAGAACAAAAGCTTCAGAGCAGAACGAATGACCCGGAGTTTGTGCAGAGGTATAACATTTTAGGGTGACATTTACCATACATCTACATAACGTAGCACTGATATATGCATTGAATTAATGTCAATTCTGTCAGATAGTTAATTCAATAGAATAGAGGAAAGTAGTGGTCTTTAAAATTCACAAAAAATAAGTGGTGGAGGTAGACCAAATGTATGGGTGGTTCTTAAAATATTATATCGTTTGATGTAATGAGGACATGTGGTATAGAAATTTAAATATGTTTTTCTATGAAAATAAGAAGATGTGGTATGATTGTCAATGAGACAACTCTCCACAAGAGACCAAATGACACAGAAATTAACAACTATAGATCACCGTTCGGCCTTCAACAATGAACAAAGCCCATACCGCATAGTTCCTTTACCAGTATACACGAGGTATACAAACTCTTATTACATTTATGAAACAATTTACGAATACTTTCCTATCGATTTGATCTGATTAGAAGATAATTACTTAGTCTAGTACAATGTATGTGTACATTTTTATGCTCTCTTCACAATGAAATAATCTTCTTCCGAAACGAATAAAAACAATGAGACATCAACAAAACGTTAACGAAACGGATAAATATAAGTTGAGAGCTTGTTTCCCGATCCTTATAATCATTCACTTGTACTAGTATGTTCATCTCAAATTGCATGTGCTAGCTAACTTGAATTTAATTAATAAAATACATTGTATGTTTACACATACAAAACGACATAAAACCCCAGAAGACATCTTGAGCCACATTTTAAAGTCAGCACATGTCCTCAACAAAAACAGGTGCATATATCACATATAAATGGTATAGTTTTGTAGTTTTAAGTCAATTCTAGCACGCGAAAACTTCATATCTGTTCATCTTGCAGTTGAAACAGAAGGCAGTGTATGTTAGTTATGGAAACACATACTGTCTTCTCATTCTATATGTATCAGCCTCCTGTGGTTTGGGGCACAATTTCTTGAATTGTGATCACGTTGCATGGGCGAAGATAGCTTAAATCATTTTGTAGTTTATACAATAAAACACTCACGTTCTTGTATATTAAACTGATGGGCTTATATTACATAGGACGAAAATAAAAGTTATTCACTTTGTTGTACGCTGAACGTTATAATAGTTTAAAAAAAATATCATATTTAAATTTCTTCTCACGTTTTTTGTAAAATATATTTTTTTTAGGTAGAGATGGAACACGAGGATACGTGACAGGTGAATTCAACGACAAAGGTTTGATAGAGGACATAAGCGGCTTCACATTAAGTCAGATACACAGCGTCAATCATTGGTTACAGTTTTACATGAAGGACTATACATTTAAAGGTATATATAATATAAATATAAATAAAGAACATATTTTAATGGCGAAGCTTTAGATTCATGGTATAAGATAATAGACAGATGATTTTTTATCTGAATAGACTCATGCTTTCTAAAACCTTATTTCCAAACAGGGACACTCGTCCCTGTTCCAAAGTTAAGGTTTGAGGTGGAATTAAAAGTGAAATGCATAAAATAAATACATCGGTTTTTGTTTGTTTTTTTGTTGTTTTATTGTGAATGAGATTTAGTGGGAACCATTTGTTCATGTACATGTTACATAACAAACATTTACCCCCTGAAAACGGTGTTTATATTTCAAGCTAGACCATCATATTTCTTACCTTGAAGTAATTATTGCCTATAGTTTTCAATTGAATTCCGTGCCAAAGTTTTGCCTCTTTCATGCCACTCGATCAGAATGAAACAGTATGTGTTTCCAGTAAAGAACAATTAGAGTTTATAGTTGGTAAAGAGTTGGTCATGTACCTCTAGACGAGAAAGAGTTGAACATTGACATTCTTTAATTTTGGTTTGCATCTATTTGCCATATTTTTCAACTGACAGAAACAACATGAGAAATCATTTCGTAGGGACAATTTTTCTTGTATTTAGTTTGTGTCAGAGTCATTTCAAAAAGTCTTTTAATTGATCTGTTGGACAATAGCGATAATCTGTAGATTGTTTTGGTCATCTGACATCGAAGGCGTAGCGATAACTAGCATTTACTTCGGTCGTCATTCGTCGTAATCGTCCGTGTTGTCGGCAACAGAAGTCAACCAAACTAGCACTGTTTCTTTTACGGGACTTTTTTTTCTCTCATCTAAAGGATCTTTTGGGATATCCATACCAAAACATAGACATAGTAATTTCTGTTTGTATAAGTGTATTAATCCGTTTCTCCTTGAAAACAGTTGGATAAATGATCATGTAGAAATTCTTCTTTATGACAAGAAATTTTGAACCTACTATTTCAATTTTTGATGAAACGATTTTTGGATTTTCTCATACAAAATACAAAGACTTCACCATTTCTGTTTATATTAATTAGAGACGGACATGGGACCACACGTCTTCTTTAACAGACTTGCACATCTTGGTCTATCTTCACTCAAAAGACCACTATATTTTTGGATCCCAAAAGTCTAGATATCAAACATACGGATGAATGTATACCTGATAAGATTACCAGTATCTCAGAAACATCCATCGTTTATAGCTTGCTAAGAAGTATGGGTTTTGCTCACTGTTGAAGGCGGTACGATGACCTACGCCATCAGGTGGGGAGTTGTCTCATTGACAATCATATTGGTTTTTGAACAGATATCGTAAACTAGTCTTAGAATGCACATTAGAATGTGTCAGCAACCTGACAATAGTCGGTCACTATGAAATAAGCTGTCAGCTGCTTTGAATTTCAGATCAAGACATTGTAGCATTATATTTGTAACTTCATATCTACTCGGTTCAACTTCCTCTAAGCATATGATTGAGGTAAAGAAAAGCAATAATTTTTACAGTATTAATTTTTCATACACCGATTTTAAAGTACAACAAACGGAACCCAAACTGTAGGTGATGTAGGTTATACGTCAATAACACAGCAATCAAATGTCAAAACAAAATGAGCACATCTAGATGGCAACATGTAGTTTTCAACAATAGATGGGTGTCTACACAATATGTCAAATTCTAAATCGTCATTAATTTATATAAAAATTGTGAATAAATTTAACAGAAACGATAAAAAAATCTACCATTTAATTATAATTCTACAAATAATGTAACAATTAAGGAAGAAGCCTAAATATAAAGAAAAAGTTAATAATTTAAATTTTATTATAAATTTTGAATTTAAAAATGTACCGTTGGCTGGAGGCCTGTTTTTGTATAATAAACTTGATTTGATTTGATTTGATTTGATTTGAATACTAAAAGTACATTATGGAAAGAACATTCAAACCATGTAGGAATGATTTTACCTTTTCATCATTTTATATGAAAGTACATGTATCTTCTGATGAACATTAATGACATATTCACAGAATTACGTTCCTGGTTTTTTATTACATTATATGATTGAATTAGATTGTGCAGCGTCATTCGAAGAAAAAACATATATATATATATATATATATATATATATATATATAGATTAATAATTGATCAATTTTGCAGTCTGAGGGAATGACACACTTCCGCCACACATATATCAGGGGCTTGTTCAGTTGTAGGGGATGTATCAAATTTGCAAGCCCTTTCGGGAGATTGTCATTTTCCTCACGCGAATAAAGACTCTTCTAACATCAAGGAACCGACATGGCCGATGCTGAGACTACTTCTCATCTACATCAAGGGACCGACATGGCCGATGCTGAGACTACTTCTCATCTGTACATCAAGGGATCGACATGGCAGATGCTGAGCCTACTTTTCATTTACTTCAAGGGACCGACATGGCCGATGCTAAGACTTCTTCTCATCTTCATTAAGGGACCAACATGGCCGATGCTGAGACTACTTCTCATCTACATCAAGGGACCGACATGGCCGATGCTGAGACTACTTTTCATCTACATCAAGGGACCGACATGGCGGATGCTGAGACTTCTTCTCATCTTCATTAAGGGACCAACATGGCCAATGCTGAGACTACTTCTCATCTACATCAAGGGACCGACATGGCCGATGCTGAGACTTCTTCCCATCTTCATTAAGGGACCAACTTGGCCAATGCTGAGACTACTTCTCATCTACATCAAGGGACCGACATGGCCGATGCTGAGACTTCTTCTCATCTTCATTAAGGGACCAACATGGCCAATGCTGAGACTACTTCTCATCTACATCAAGGGACCGACATGGCCGATGCTGAGACTACTTTACATCTTCATTAAGGGACCGACATGGCCGATGCCGAGACTTCTTCTCATCTTCATTAAGGGACCAACATGGCCAATGCTGAGACTACTTCTCATCTATACATCAAGGGACCGACATGGCCGATGCTGAGACTTCTTCTCATCTTCATTAAGGGACCGACATGGCCGATGCTGAGACTTCTTCTTATCTTCATTAAGGGACCAACATGGCCGATGCTGAGACTACTTTACATCTTCATTAAGGGACCGATATGGCCGATGCTGAGACTACTTTACATCTTCATTAAGGGACCGACATGGCCAATGCTGAGACTAATTCTCATCTACATCAAGGGACCGACATGGCCGATGCTGAGACTACTTTACATCTTCATTAAGGGACCGACATGGCCGATGCCGAGACTTCTTCTCATCTTCATTAAGGGACCAACATGGCCAATGCTGAGACTACTTCTCATCTATACATCAAGGGACCGACATGGCCGATGCTGAGACTTCTTCTCATCTTCATTAAGGGACCGACATGGCCGATGCTGAGACTTCTTCTTATCTTCATTAAGGGACCAACATGGCCGATGCTGAGACTACTTTACATCTTCATTAAGGGACCGACATGGCCGATGCTGAGACTACTTTACATCTTCATTAAGGGACCGACAAGGCCGATGCTGAGACTACTTTACATCTACATCAAGGGACTGACATGGCCGATCATGCTGAGACTAATTTACATCTTCATTAAGGGACCGACATGGCCGATGCTGAGACTACTTTACATCTACATCAAGGGACCGACATGGCCGATGCTGAGACTACTTTACATCTACATCAAGGGACCGACATGGCCGATGCTGAGACTACTTTACATCTTCATTTAGGGACCGACATGGCCGATGCTGAGACTACTTTACATTTTCATTAAGGGACCGACATGGCCGATGCTGAGACTACTTTACATCTTCATCAAGGGACCGACATGGCCGATGCTGAGACTACTTTACATCTACATCAAGTGACCGACATGGCTGATCATGCTGAGACTACTTTACATCTACATCAAGGGACCGACATGGCTGATCATGCTGAGACTACTTTACATCTACATCAAGGGACCGACATGGCCGATGCTGAGACTACTTTACATCTTCATTAAGGGACCGACATGGCCGATGCTGAGACTACTTTACATCTTCATTAAGGGACCGACATGGCCAATGCTGAGACTACTTCTCATCTACATCAAGGGACCGACATGGCCGATGCTGAGACTTCTTCCCATCTTCATTAAGGGACCAACTTGGCCAATGCTGAGACTACTTCTCATCTACATCAAGGGACCGACATGGCCGATGCTGAGACTTCTTCTCATCTTCATTAAGGGACCAACATGGCCAATGCTGAGACTACTTCTCATCTACATCAAGGGACCGACATGGCCGATGCTGAGACTACTTTACATCTTCATTAAGGGACCGACATGGCCGATGCCGAGACTTCTTCTCATCTTCATTAAGGGACCAACATGGCCAATGCTGAGACTACTTCTCATCTATACATCAAGGGACCGACATGGCCGATGCTGAGACTTCTTCTCATCTTCATTAAGGGACCGACATGGCCGATGCTGAGACTTCTTCTTATCTTCATTAAGGGACCAACATGGCCGATGCTGAGACTACTTTACATCTTCATTAAGGGACCGACATGGCCGATGCTGAGACTACTTTACATCTTCATTAAGGGACCGACATGGCCAATGCTGAGACTACTTCTCATCTACATCAAGGGACCGACATGGCCGATGCTGAGACTTCTTCCCATCTTCATTAAGGGACCAACTTGGCCAATGCTGAGACTACTTCTCATCTACATCAAGGGACCGACATGGCCGATGCTGAGACTTCTTCTCATCTTCATTAAGGGACCAACATGGCCAATGCTGAGACTACTTCTCATCTACATCAAGGGACCGACATGGCCGATGCTGAGACTACTTTACATCTTCATTAAGGGACCGACATGGCCGATGCCGAGACTTCTTCTCATCTTCATTAAGGGACCAACATGGCCAATGCTGAGACTACTTCTCATCTATACATCAAGGGACCGACATGGCCGATGCTGAGACTTCTTCTCATCTTCATTAAGGGACCGACATGGCCGATGCTGAAACTTCTTCTTATCTTCATTAAGGGACCAACATGGCCGATGCTGAGACTACTTTACATCTTCATTAAGGGACCGACATGGCCGATGCTGAGACTACTTTACATCTTCATTAAGGGACCGACAAGGCCGATGCTGAGACTACTTTACATCTACATCAAGGGACTGACATGGCCGATCATGCTGAGACTAATTTACATCTTCATTAAGGGACCGACATGGCCGATGCCGAGACTTCTTCTCATCTTCATTAAGGGACCAACATGGCCGATGCTGAGACTACTTTACATCTACATCAAGGGACCGACATGGCCGATGCTGAGACTACTTTACATCTACATCAAGGGACCGACATGGCCGATGCTGAGACTACTTTACATCTTCATTTAGGGACCGACATGGCCGATGCTGAGACTACTTTACATTTTCATTAAGGGACCGACATGGCCGATGCTGAGACTACTTTACATCTTCATCAAGGGACCGACATGGCCGATGCTGAGACTACTTTACATCTACATCAAGTGACCGACATGGCTGATCATGCTGAGACTACTTTACATCTACATCAAGGGACCGACATGGCTGATCATGCTGAGACTACTTTACATCTACATCAAGGGACCGACATGGCTGATCATGCTGAGACTACTTTACATCTACATCAAGGGACCGACATGGCCGATGCTGAGACTACTTTACATCTACATCAAGGGACCGACATGGCCGATGCTGAGACTACTTTACATCTACATCAAGGGACTGACATAGCCGATTATGCTGAGACTACTTTACATCCTCATTAAGGGACCGACATGGCCGATGCTGAGACTACTTTACATCTACATCAAGGGACCGACATGGCCGATGCTGAGACTACTTTACATCTACATCAAGGGACCGACATGGCCGATGCTGAGACTACTTTACATCTACATCAAGGGACTGACATGGCCGATCATGCTGAGACTACTTTACATCTTCGTTAAGGGACCGACATGGCCGATGCTGAGACTACTTTACATCTACATCAAGGGACAGACATGGCTGATGCTGAGACTACTTTACATCTACATTAAGGGACCGACATGGCCGATGCTGAGACTACTTTACATCTTCATCAAGGGACCGACATGGCCGATGCTGAGACTACTTTACATCTTCATTAAGGGACCGACATGGCCGATGCTGAGACTACTTTACATCTACATCAAGGGACTGACATGGCCGATCATGATGAGACTACTTCTCATCTTATAATTGTTGTTCTTTGACGGTCAAAATTAGGCCTTTCCTGTGTCCCATCTCATTACTGTTTTATTTCATGGTCATTATATATCATCTGTATTAATAATCTTCGCATCGGTTTGGCATTTTTGTGCTCCTTAGGCGTAAAAATTAATAATCAAGGGAAATTTTGTAGTCGTAAATTATCTAGGTTAAATCTATTATTTCCAGGCTACCTACTTGGAAATTATTTTGACGAGGATGGTAGCCCTTCAGAAGCGAAGTTAGAATTTGATAGGAAGCTGGTTTTTGCCAACAAAGCGGAGGAGGATAAAAAAGCAGACATTGTAATGTTCCCGCCATGTAATTCTCAGTTTAAAGCAGGTCAAGGGAAGACATTGTGGTGTTCTAATTTCAGGTTTGTATAAACAATAAGCTATTCGACGGTGTAAACTTCATTCAAAAGAGAGATAATAAAAAGATATTAGAACGCATAAGTCTTAAACAAACTGACTATGCGGTATGGGTTTCGTTTATTGTTGAAGGCCGTAAGGTGACCTATAGTTGTTAACTTCTTTGTCAATTAGTCTCTAGTGGAGAGTAATCTAATTGACATTCATACCACATCTTCTTATTTTTATATGACAATGCCATGGAAAAAAAACCCGAAAAACGATGAAAAACCAAAAATTATACAAAACACGACATACATGTTGAAAACTAAAGACTGATCAACACGTACCCTACCAAAAAAAAAAACATCAATATTGATGTAAATATTTATGAATTTCTCTGAATATTTAATATTAACGAATTATCAGAACCATGGAAATTGATGATAATTAATTTTCGGAATAGGGAAATGTAAGTGAAGTTTGTGATGTTAATCGCAATTCTCGGAACGGGAAAATTGTTTTTAATGAATTGTCATAACAAAGAAAATTTTGAATATATCATTAAATCAGAGAAAAAAGATGTCAATGTATTTTATGCGAAGAAAATGAATTACTAGCACTTGTATAAACAGTTATTCAACTATCAGGGATTTTCCAGCTAGGTTTGGTAGGGCAGGCAAAATTATTATGAAGTGTTAACTAATACATTAATAAAAAACATTCTAAAAATAAAAACAAAAAAAACTTAATTTAAGGACTGAAATCTACTGAACATCTTGAGAAATTTCAGTTATGTGTCTTTAGTTAAATGCATGCCGACCTATCGTTTTATATATTAAATTCTGTTACGAACGAGTTAACATACTACTGCACCGTATTGAACATATTGAACGACTTGATAAATAATCTGATCTAGAAATTTCACATATTAATAAAATTTTGTGTTATTGTTATGCACAAGTCCATACTTGTACAATTTGAGATACAGCACCTAATTATAATTTTAACTTCTGGATTCTTCATAGCACATTTACAATTAGCCCCGGTATAATGGAATTTTGATGTTCTGTAGTTACACGGGGACATTGGTCTTCCTAAGTACTAGTGATGCAGTCCTGCTTTATCCCAAAATATAAGAACAAGGAGATGTGGCATGATTGTCAATTATCCACTTACTGAGATCAATTACGATGATGCAAAGGCCACCAAAATCAATACATGAACAAAAGGTCCCCAAATAACAAAATATGAAACAATTGAAAAGGAAATCCAACGAACTGACTTCAGTGTATACCATTTAACAGAAGTAATAATGGTAGATAGCAACAAACTATAACCACTAGACAACAAGCTCCTGACTTGGTACATGTATACAAGGAAAATTTAACTCGCATGAATATCACCTCAAACAAGCTTATACGTGAATGAAACTCTCGTGAAATCAGGTCATGTGAGTTTGGTGTGAATCTCATGTGAGAGACACATGCATTTTTTTCACGTAAAATTCATGTGAATTATAAAAATAAAATTATTCAAATAACATCTTATTTTTCCAATTAAAAAAAACCCATGAGAAACACCAATTTTTTTTAACAATTCCCAAATTGTAAATTGATAGATTCAATAAGAAGAAATTGTTTTAAGAACTTCGTCTTGTCCAAACAATTACAAACAAAATTTAAGCCACTTTGACAAATTGTTTTCTCAACAATTATATGTATTCCTGTATAATACCGTTGTCAAGTTCAAATTTTCAATATTAATATTTTATTTTTTCAGTGGAGGAATTCAAAGAGAATGGGTCGGTGTTCCAAGACAGTATTTTAGACCAGGCGAGACTCAAGCGCGATGCGCATGTGTGAAAAATATAGGTCCTCCGTCTGATCAGCCTGATGCTAAAGATCACAAAAATAATGGTGATTTAGACAATCCTGGCATGAAATTGTACGAAGGTTGTGATCCAAATGTTGATTCGTGTTATTTTCCAGAAAAATGATATTAACAAATTGTTGCTGTTTAGTTACTTCTTTTAGTCAGGCTCCCAGAACTTTTATCTTTTTTTTAGTTGGCGTCATAGTTTAACTGTAGATAAATTGTTTGATTACAAATTTCATGACACAGAAACAATTTGTTTTACAAGGAAAGAAAACATGGTTTGTTTCCAATCAAAATGAAAGGGAAACATCTCGGTATATTTGACGCTTTAATTCCTATCGTGATATATTTGATTCCTATCAATTTACATTGCGATGCAGTCATGTGTATATTGTAATTCATGAACTATAAACTTCGTGTTTTTGTTAAAATAGTTTTTGGGCGTCCCGTATTCCCCATTTCTTTCCTCGACAGTCCCGGTTATTGTGTCAGTCTTTTTTATGACTTCATTACCTCTTGTTACATAACTCGTTGGCCGTGATGGGTCACTTTAACGTCTCAAAATATAATACTTACTTCTTCGTCTTTATAATTATTATTCTAAACTTGACATAGAACCAGATTGAAAAAAATAAACTCCAGACATTTGCGTTTCGTCTACAAAAGACTCACCAGTGACACTCAAATAAAAAAGTTTAGAAGACAAATAATGTACGAAGTTGAAGAGCATTTAAAACCCACATTTTCGAAAATTTTGCCAAATACAGCCAAGGTTGTCTATTCCTGGTGTAGAATAGTTAATTTATTCTCAGCGGAAATCTCATCCAAATACATACAAGTAACAGGATAATAATTGTGTACGCCAGACGCCCGTGTCGTCTACAAAAGTCTCATCAGTGTCTCTAGAATAAAAATATTAAAAGGTCAAATCAATTAAGAATTTGGAAGAGCATTGAGGACCCCAAAATTCCGAAAGGTTTTTCCAAATACCGACTATGATAATCTTTTCCTGGGGGGTAGACATGTGATATTTAAATCAATTAAGATAACGTAGAATTTGAAGCTTGTATAAAAGGTTCAAATTTCTGGTTGTCTCACAGTTTTCCTGACTATATTTTTAGGGAGCTACCATTTGATTTTTATGGGGGGGGGGGGGGGCTAGGATGAAAAATTTGTCCTGCATTTTTTTTTAGTTGTTATCTCTGTCCTGCCTTTTTATTTTTCACTCTATTCGGTCCTGACTTCTTTTTTTTTTAGTTTATCTTGACTTTTTTACATAAATTGTCATCCTGCCTTTTTTTTTTGCAAACTGTCTCATCCTGCCTTTTTCTTTACTCAAAACTCCTGTCCTGCCTATTTTTTTCAAATTTCATCCTAGCCCTCTCCTAAAATCACATGGTAGCTCCCTTACTGATTTAAAGAATATGTTTGTTTTAACCTCTCTTTTTTGAACTGACTAAGTTCTATGAATAATATATTTTGGTTCATTCCTCCTATTCCCACTTTTTATAAATCTGGTAAGAAAAGTTAAAATTTCATGTGGGAATAGGGGGAAAACTTGTGCAAACAAAGGATTATACTGTATAAACATTGTTTATTCAACTTTTAATTGACAAGTATTTTTTTGGGTAGGTAATAAGTTATTTTTTATGTGTATGAATTCTGTGTTTTTAATTAAAATAGACATAAAAGAAATGGAAACAAATATAAGTAAATCATTTTATTTCTTTTATAACACAAATTCAACATTAGATTCAAGCAAGCATTATAATATGAAACAAAAAATACAAGTTAACAGCACTAAAACACATAAAAGATATTGCACAGACATTAGAAATTCACTGTATATAAGTCTATTAAAGTTTATTAATCTAATCAACGTGAAGAAGGTGGGAGGCTGCATCACCAAACTGCACTGTTGTGACTTCCTGGCTGCGGTGTCTAACCTTAAGCTCTTTTAATCTGTTGTTGATTTCGACATACTTTCGTGTTTGGGCCACTCTCTTCCCATCGGCTGCATACTGGATCATGGTCAAGGCGTTGAAAGCTTCCTCATGATTCAGTAGTTTTATGAGTTTAAAGATGTTTGGATGGGGGTGCTGGACATGTTTCTTCAGCTTGCTGTGCCATCCCTCTAGATGATGTGTAGTCTTCGAACCTATGTTGTGCGTTGGTCTCAAAGGTGACTGTTCTGTTCGACCCAGTATTTGTTACATAGTCTGTAAAGGGCGTGTAGTTGATGTTAGTATCAATCTGATCTATGTCGGTTAGGACATTAAACCACACATCTTCGATCATAGTACGTGCCCACATACCATCTATGTTGATTTCATCAATAGTTTTTGGTAAAACTGGAAGGTTCTTCTTGCGTTTGTTGTACATGGAAATCTTGCATGATGGGAAAGTTATTTATAATTTTATCTATCATCAATTTATTTGTTCGGATGACAATTTTTTTAAGTTTACAAATTCAATGATTTTTTAATCTAACTTCTATTTATCTGACTTATTCTTTATCTTTAAGCAATTATTTGAATAAGAAAAAACATATTACAAATAAACAGTGTTTTAGATTGATTTTTTAAAATAATATTATAATTAACAGTGTTAGAAATATGTTTTCTTTTAAAAAATACAGGTAATTCTTAGGTGAATTTTTAGTTAACCTTGATTGTTATAAAAACAAATCATTTATCAAAACATCTATTGTTATTTGCAAGTGGGAATAGAAGGAATAGTGATTTTTAAAAGTGGGAATACGAGGAAGACACCTATATTTTGTATTAATTTGTTCATGATGCTTAAATTTATATGACAATATAACATTACATTACACAAATGTATTTAAATATTTTTGTCCGTATATTTGAAATAGGCCGCTTGTCACGATCCAATATTCATTGCTGTACTTCAAAATACTTTTGAATACATAATAATAAAATAGCAGATTATCGAAAAGTGAGTACGACAATGATTACTTGATAACATGTGATTTGTAAAATTCACATACATTATCTGTACCAGATTTTGTTTGTTACTTGACTGTAATCTCCAACAATAAATGGAACACACATTATTAAGACATTGGGTTTGACAATCCATTATTAACCAAAAAATGAAGGAAGGACTTGATTGTTTTTTTATTTTTAGATATGCTGGCTATTACATCTGTAATCGGTGATAAATCTAAAATAGAGGAAACGTCCCGTTTAAGGGAAGTAGGAACACGTGATAAGCACTTCTCCCTTTTTGTTTATATTAAAAAGAGATGGAAAGTGATTGAAAAAATTGCAAAACGCTTGTCTCTAGTTGACACCGATGAATGACCAAAGTCCTGAAATCTTACTCGGAAGCTAACTTCATTGTTAACTAGTTTACCTAGAAAAAAGTAAAATCACAAAAACACCTAACGTCGGGGAAAATTCAAAACGGAAAGTCCCTAATAAAATGGCAAAATCAAAAGCTAAAACACATTAAACAAATGGATAACAACTGTCATATTCCTGACTTGGTACAGACATAGAAATAGAAATTATTTAAAAATATACACATTGTATTAAGAATACGAAATGACATGATGATAGGTCATTAACATACTGAACCTGTTAGGTATTTAGAAAAACCTATTGGAAAATGTGTCTCTTTATTGGACGTTGGGGATTTATAAGGACATGGGCATACGCCACAGTTTCACAGTTTCATGTATAAGTTATTGTTGTTGTCCATTCGTTTGATGTGTTTTGTCATTTGATTTTGCCATTTGATTAGGGACTTTCCGTTTTACTTTTTATTATACTCTGGTGTATATCGTTATAAAAGAATGAATAGAACTGACAAACAACATAAGCAAAAGTACATGTAACGAACAAACGAAAAGACAAATTTGTCTAGAAAATATTTGTTTTATTTCTTTATTATAAAAGTAATATAGATGTTAAGGTGGTACCTAACACAACAGGGAGATAACTCTGTAAAAATCAGCTAAACGTTTTAATCACGTTGTATTGTTAAGGAAATATTAAGCTTCTCAATGATCAAAATTAGTGTTTGTCAAACTGCTATATAACCAATGAAATTTTTCTGATAAAGTGGTTGGTTCAAATTTTTTGAAATTTTTATATTTTTGTCAAAGGGTCAAAGTAAACATTTTGTCAAAATTTTATGAAAATTAAACGAGCCAAGTTAATATTTGTCAAGGTGTTGGGTACCACCTTAATCTGAAAAATCACCAAAGATATTATTAGCCTTATGTATAATTTGTTTAGATGTTAGGAATGATGCTGATACTAGTGAGCGGTACGCAACGTTCACTAAAATGAGGAAGGCGCTACCTTGAATGCCAGCTTACCAAAACTATGTCCTACATATTGATTGATTGTTGGTTTGCTTAACGCCCAGTGGCAAATATTTCATGCATGTTCAGGACGAATGTCCATATAGTTTTTTTTTTGTCTAAAATATAATAATAAGTTTAGATGGAAAATGTTTAGGGAAAGATCATTGAACTTCAAAAGGCAGAAGGGGGTATGGTATTTTTTTTGTTTGCTTTGTTGCGTCGCAGGAAGGCGTCAAAGCAAAAATTTAAAATAGCCTTCATGGATGTCATAATTATTTGGACTAGTATTTTTCTTTAAAAACTGATGACAAAAAATACTCTGTTCAAGCAGAGGACAAAAAAAATATTCTGAATCCAGATTTTCCCCATACCTTATAGTGTTATATTTTGACTAAATAATTTTGATTAATAGCATTGAAGTGCTTCACGTGTAAAAAATCTGTCTCAAACAAAAACCATACTCCCCCTTTGGAGCTAAATTGTTGCTCCCTTATTGTTTTCTGCTGAAAATGAATTTATTGGTGATTTATATAAATGACAATGCTTACAATCATTAACTTGTGCATTTTCATATCCATTTTTCTTTCTTTGCAAATTTTACAAAATTTAAAACAATAAGACATTTGTTTAATTTCAAAACTATGAATACTGTTATACAATCCATAACTTCATTAAATTAATTTTTTGTTGATTTTCATGAAAAGGTGGAGGATTTGGAATATATTTTTCATCAATATCTAAAAGTTGTAGCTGTTTTTTTTATTTAGTGTTGCAAACAACGCTTTCTGTTTGTTGA